GTGCTTCTCATTTCTAATGAGTACAGCTAAATTTCTGGAGGGAAGAGGATGGTATTAAAAAAGAATGTAATTGAAACTTTTTTTTTTTTTTTTTTACTAGTTTACAGAAGGTACTAGATCTTTTTTATTCACATTTCATGGATGACATGCTTTTGTGTTGCATCAATTCACAGTGGGTTTCCTGGTTTCCTTAAAAAAGCCTGGATAGATGCATTTCACTGAAATGAAAAATTTCTAGATTAAACCTTCATTTTGAAAAAAAATATATTTTTTTTTCTTGTTTGCTGCAGAAAAAAAAAAATTGAATAATTTTTAAATGGAAATAAAAGTTTTCTTAGCCCATTGATTTCATGATTAAATTAGGTGATACCTATATTGTCTCTGTAAAATTAGTATCTGTGCAGTACTCACATTCCCTTCACACATAATGGTCACTGAAGGAATGAGTATGTGTTAGCGTATGGAAGCCTTCCGTTCTACGTTTTCTGGAAAACAAAAAAATAAAAAACTAACTCTTTTTATACCTGTATAGTGTGTAGTGATTTAAACAAAACTACCAAATCTCATTTTCTCATTTTAAGCTCACAGAACTTGAAAGTTCCTTGTCCACGTTTTTTTTTTTTTTTTTTTTTTTTTATATCCTGAGCACATTGTATATGGTTAAGAAAACATCAGTTGCCTCGATCCCCCCTCCCCCAATTCATAAAGGGTGGATAAGTTACTGTTATAATTTAAGATGTGCATGAATCGTCAGTAATTCACCCTCTTTCTCAAACAGAGCAAAATGATTGCATGGAATTCAATTCTCTCTTTCCATGTACATTTGCTAAATTTACTTGCATGCTTGTAATTTCAAATACAAATAAACAAATTATTGAATATCCCGAATATATCCCGAAATATCTTGAATATCCCGAGTTAGAAGGGACCCATAAGTCCAATCATCAAGTCCAACTCATAGCTCCACACAATCCTAGCCTTGTTTTTATAATGTAAAGACCATATATTTTATCAGTTAAGTTTACGTGATTTAAGAATAATTCCAAATGCAGTAATCCCAAGTTTGTGCTGAGGTAGCTAGGAGTAAAAGCTCACCTTCAGAAGTAACATAAGGAATTATTTCAGTGATAACTCTTGATACCAGCTACAGGAGCCAGTCAGCCAGATGGACAATAATGTTTTATATGAACATAATAAATGAAGAAACATGAGCAAATATTGATAAATACTGGGGAATCCTAACCATAGGAATACTTACTCTTACCTTCAGATGATCACAACTTTTGTGATCCCTAGTGGCATTCATTGTTGTGTCACTGATGTAATGAGTTCTAAAATGACATAGCTGATAGATCTACCAGGAGATGCCAGGTGCTGGACAGATTCAAGAATAACATAACAGTAAGTACTGTATGATTTCCTTCATTTATCATATTTTTCTTGCTGGATACTCTGCAGATATATACATTCTCTGAACCTCTGGGGATTTCTTCATTATATATATATACATATATGAATATAGTGTGTATATATATAATAAGTCATATATAAATTATATTATTGAATGGTATATTAGCTATTTGTTTAATGTTTCCTAGCAAACAGGCATATATTCAACACATCCCAGATACTAATGTTGTCCTTCGGGTAGAAATTAAACTCCTAACAATCCTTCTTAACCTGTACTTTTAGTCAAAAGTAAACAGTGTATCCCAGTAGAGAGAATAAGGCACAAACAAAAACAAACAAAAATCAAAAAATCTTTAATTGTGCCTTTTCTAAGTTATAATAGTCTGAACATTCACTAGCTCTACCTCTGAAAGTCTTTTTTCCTTTTCTGTCAAATATATTTATATATATATATAAGATATCTATATAATATATAGACAAATAGATATATAGATATGGATATGTATACATATCCATACATTTTCGTATGTATTTATATATGTATACATATCCATACATTTTCGCTTATTGGAATAAGCGAAACCTGGTGGGATGAGTCCTGTGACTGGGGTGTTGCGATAGATGGTTACAGGCTCTTCAGGAGGGACACGGCAGGGTAGGCGAGGTGGTGGGGTGGCGATGTATGTGAAGAAGGGGCTGGACTGTGTGGAAATCTTCAGGTCGGCGATGGCAAAGTTGAGAGCCTCTGGGTAAGGATCAAGGGACGAACGAATAAAGGGGATCTCGTTGTGGGAGTCTATTACAGACCGCCTGGCCAGGACGATAGCGCCGATAAATTATTCTTTACAGAACTAAGAGAGGCCTCGAGATTAACTCCCCTTGTCCTTATGGGGGACTTCAACTTGCCAGACGTTAACTGGGAGTGCCACACGGCTGACACGAGCAAGTCCAGGAGGTTCAATGAGCACCTAGATGATAACTTCTTGGTGCAGGTGCTAACGGAGCCAACTAGGAAGGTGCCCTCCTAGAACCTGTTGCTTAGAAAACAGAGAGGGTCTGGTGGGAGATGTGGTGGATTGGTGGCCGCCTCGGTCATAGCGACCATGAAGTGGTTTGAGTTCAAAATTTACGGTGACAGAAGGAAAAGTGCCACCAAAACCTCATCCCTAGACTATGGGGAAGGCGGACTTCAGGCTGCTCAGGGAACTATTCCAGCAAGGTCCCTGGGAAACTGCTCTTGAAGGCCTCGATTGTCAAACCAGTGCTGGTCATTCTTTAAGCGATGCCTCCTAGAAGCAGCAAGATCAGGCAATTCCTAAATATCGCAAGTCAGGCAGGCGGGGCAGGAGGCCGGCGTGGCTGACCAGGAACATTCTAATGGAGATTAGGCAGAAACAGAGAGTGTTTCGCTACTGGAAGGAGGGCCAGGTGTCATGGAAAGAATACAGGGATGCTGTTCGTGTTTGTAGGAAGAAAATTCGTGTGGCTAAAGCACACCTAGAGTTGAAGCTGGCTGTGTCTGTGAGAGAAAATAAAAAGGTTTTTTTTAGATATGTGAATGGAAAAAGGAGAACTAAAGAATACATAGGGCCGCTCCTTGATAGGGAAGGTCTCCTCACAGACAATGACATAGGCAAAGCAGAAACGCTTAACCTTCTTTGCCTCTGTCTTCAATGCCGATGATGGGCTTCGGGACCCAGGGTGCCCTGAGCTGGAGGACCGGGACGGTGGGGATGACAAACTCCCAACCGACCCTGAACGTGTGCGGGATTTGCTACTCCACCTGGATCCCTACAAGTCTATGGGTCCGGATGGGATTCATCCCCGGGTGCTGAAAGAGCTGGCGGACGTCATCGTGGAACCTCTCTCAATTATTTTTCAACGATCCTGGGAATCTGGAGAGGTCCCGGTAGACTGGAAGCTGGCAAATGTTGTGCCGATTTTCAAGAAGGGTCAGAAAGAAGACCCTAGCAATTACAGGCCTGTCAGTCTCACGTCAGTGCCTGGTAAAATCATGGAGAAGATGGTTCTCGAACTTCTTGAGGCGCACCTGGGGGACAAAGCAGTCATTGGTCCCAGCCAGCATGGGTTTGTGAAGGGTAGGTCCTGCCTAACTAACCTGCAGCCTAGAAGAGAGGGATCTGGGGGTCGTGGTAGACAGCAAGTTCAATATGAGCCAGCAGTGTGCCCTGGCAGCCAGGAGGGCCAACCGTATCCTGGGGTGCATCAAGCACGGCATCGCTAGTAGGTCAGGGAGGTGATCGTCCCTCTACTCTGCGCTGGTGCGGCCTCACCTTGAGTACTGTGTGCAGTTCTGGGCACCACAGTATAAAAAGGACATGAAACTGTTGGAGAGTGTCCAGAGGAGGGCTACGAAGATGGTGAAAGGCCTGGAGGGGAAGACGTACGAGGAACGGCTGAGGGCACTGGGCCTGTTCAGCCTGGAGAAGAGGAGGCTAGGGGAGACCTCATCGCAGTCTACAACTTCCTCGTAAGGGGGTGTCGAGAGGCAGGAGACCTTTTCTCCATTAACACCAGTGACAGGACCCACGGGAACGGGGTTAAGCTGAGCAGGGGAAATTTAGGCTTGACACAGGAGGGGGTTCTTCACAGAGAGGTGGTTGCACACTGGAACAGGCTCCCCAGGGAAGTGGTCACTGCACCGAGCCTGTCTGAATTTAAGAAGAGATTGGACTGTGCACTTAGTCACATGGTCTGAACTTTTGGGTAGACCTGTGCGGTGTCAAGAGTTGGACTTGATGATCCTTAAGGGTCCCTTCCAATTCAGGATATTCTATGATTCTATGATATCTATATATCTATTTATCTATATATCTATATATAATATATAATATATATATACATATATATATACATATATATATATAATATTTATAAAAATATAAAAATTATATATATATATATATTGGTCTTAATTTTTTTGAAAAATAAAGGTAAGCCGAATTCAAGGCCATCCCTGGTCAAGATAGTTGTAATAGAAAATGCATTAACAATAAATTCAAGTGTAATTAAAGTGACTGTTCTAGAAAAAATGAAAAATAATAATAATAAAAAAGATAACTAAAGATATGTACAGTCTGGATTCCTCCATGAATGCATATCACCTTGCTATAGGTCCATGAGACAGATATGTTTTAAGACTCTAACAGGGAATATCCTTTCTTTTCTCTTCATTATACTCAGCCTCATTAAATTTAATTTATTATGTATTTATTTATTTTGTATGTATTTATTATGTATGTATTTATTATGTATATTTCCATTTAATAACATGGAAAAATACACAATACTTGTCAAATAACAGGATTGTTTTTACCATTACTTCTATTTTACAATTTGTGCTTTATTTATTTATGTAAATGCTTTTCTGATAAGGGGCTGATGGACACTTAACTTCTCTTCTCATTCCCATGGCTGCTGAATATAAAAGGTGCAATCACACACTTGGACCACAGCACAGTCCTTGAATAGCGCAGTAAAGTGACAAAAAGTTTGACTCAAAAGAAGAAGAGTCTTTAAGCAAGAACAGCAGTTTATCTCTACTGCCACCATCTACCACCTCCTCTCAAATGGCACAATTCAACCAAACACTCTGGAAGGAGAATCAGACCCTTCGAGAAGAGAATCAAACCCTTCAGCAAGAAAACAGAGCTTTTCATTTGGAGAACAAAGTCTGTTATCAGCAGAATCAAATTATACAAAGACAGAATAAAGCCCTCTGGGAACAGAATAAAATTCTTCAGAAGAAGCACGTAGATTCTTCAGAAGAAACAAAGCACCTTGAGAAACAGCAAAAGGCCCTCCTACAGCAAAATACAGCCCTCAGAGAAGAGATTAAGGCTCTCAAAGGACAAGAAATAGCATTTGCAATGCAGGAAAAAGCTCTTCAGAAAGAGATTTTAGCTTTATGGGAGGAAAACAAGGCCTTCAATAAGCATATTAAGGCTCTTCAAAAGGACAACAAAGCTACTCAGGAAGAGGAGAAGGCTCTCTGTGAGGAAAAAAATGCCCTAAGTGATCAGAAATTTGCTCTCCAAGAGGAGAACAGGGCACTTCAAGATGAGATGAAGGCCCTACAGAGTCAGAGAAAAGCTCTCAAAGAGGAGCACAAAGTCCTCCACGAATGGAATAAGATCCTTCAAGGGGAGGAATAAAGCAATATAAGAAAAGTATCAGACACATGGGGAGATTCAGCAGGAGAAATAAGCAGTTTACAAAGAAAGATAGTAATATCTATTGTTAGCAAGATATTATGTCCTAGTCTCCATAATAGAACATCAGCAGCAACTAATGGATAAAAACAGGCACGAAATAGTCTGTTAAGCTTAATGCCAAAGCCTTGGAAGTTTGAAAGTGATGATACATGGGTGTTGACAACTTAGCTCTCTAAAGGCTAATAAATTACTTCTGGCAATACATAATGCATATCTACAGATATCTGCTCTATTGGGATACTGAACAGCAAAGAAAACAAGTTTCTGATTACAGTGTAGCCTTGAACACTTGCACATGCATTTGGATCACATTCCAGTACATGAAAAAAAAAAAAACACAACCAAAAAACAACAACAAAAACACAGACAATAACTACCAATCTAAAACCCATAATATCATATTATAAAAACACCATCCCTGTAGTGTGCAAAGATATTGTGTCAGAAGCTTGGAACTAAAACTAGCACATTAAGACTACCTAGTGTTCATAGAAAACCAGGGTCAAGACCTCATTCTGTTGATGTTGCCAGTCTACTGTAGCTGGGTCTAGGAGTAAGCAGTCTGATACAAGCAAACAGGAGGCATATACATCCAACACATCCCTGATATTACAGTGTTGTCCTATGTATAGAAATTAAACTCCTAAGAATACTTTTTAACCTGCAGAGGGAGGGGGAGGGATGGCCTCTTTGAGAAGAAGACAGAATTTGTCCCAGGAGCTCCAAAAAAGGAGCTCTTGATGGCCAAGAGCCCATGAGTGACCTTGGTTGCACCTCTGTGAAAGCACATAAACAAACAAACAAACAAAAAAAGCTGCACAACAGCAGCTGGGAAAGAGGAGTGAGAAAATGTAGAGAGAAGCAAATCTGAAGACACCAAGGTCAGTGAAGAAAGAAAGGGAGGAGGTGCTCCATGTATCAGAGCAGAATTTCACCTGCTGTGTAGGACCATGGGGGAGCAGGTGGATGTGGCCTGAAGGACGCTGCAGCCCATGGAGAGCTCCAATAGGAGCAGACTCTGAGTTGGAGCTGCAGCCCGTGGAGAGGAAATCATGCAGGAGCAGGGGTTCTGGGGGGAACTGCCACCTGTGATGGACCCATGCTGGAGCAATCCATTCCTGCAGGACTGCACTCTGTGGTACGAACACATATAGTTGCAGCTCTTGAAAACTGCAGTCTGTGGGAAGCCCATGTACAATCAGTTTGGGAAGGAGAGCATTCTGTAGGAGCAAACATATGCTGCAGCAGGGTCAGAGAGTGACCGTGAAGGAGCAACAGATGATGAAGTGTTATGGACTGACCACAAGCCCCCATTCCTCATTCCCCTAAACTGCCCGGTGGAAGGAGGCAGACAAAGGTGAACGGGGGGAAGGTGGATTTAGACTGCTTTTAGTTCTCACTGCTCTAGTCTGTTATCAGTAAGCAATGAATTACATTCATCTCCCTTATTCTGAATCTGTTTTGCCCATAATGGTAACTGGTGAGTGATGTCCCTGTCCTTATCTCAACTCATGAGCTTTTTTGTTCATCATATTTTCTCCCCTTTCTCTTTTGGGGAGAGGCAGTGAGAAAGCGGCATGGTGGTGGGGCTTTATGGCCCATCAGTGCGAAGCCACGAATGTAGGCAACTGTGCATTTTAAGGGAAAAATACTGGGCCAGATCTGACAGCCTTACAGAGGTGAGGGTGCTGCAGCTCCATGCCCAGGTCCATCCAGTAGAGAGGCTAAGCACATGCACAGAGCACACAAATACACTCAGACACAGTCTGTTCAATAGCTGCCCCTGGATCCCAAAATCTGTACTTTCTGGCATCTGGTCATATGAGTCCCTCAGGCCACAGGACCCACTGCGGTTGCCGGTACACACTCCCTCACTCATACACACTCCTGCATCCTGGAAAGAGTTAGAAATTAATTTGTTAAGAAGACAGGACAGACTTTGCTAGCTAGGTGCAGGGTATGGTCAGACATGGGACATTCTTATCCCTGCCTCCATTAATTTTTCCACCTCTGTTCCCCCCCAGATCGTCTAATGGTATTCATTTTCCTCCCTTTGGTTCCTCCTCAGAACATGAAATAATATATCCTGCTCAATCATGAAATGCTCCACAGACACAATGTGTCCCATAGCCCTAGGCAGCAACACTCAAGGTGGTACAGCATTGTCTCATCTTTGTAGGTTTCAAACATGGAAATTGGGACAGCCATGGGGCAGGGCCAGCCAGAAGGTGTCCCTTTTTTTGAGTTCTTAATCTGGATTCCAGGCTGCCATGTATTCCTTGGAACTTGTAGAGATGGGCCTTTGAGAGGCATTTGGCTTTTGTGATGAGCCAGGGAGTAGCTGGAGCAGGGCTGGACGTGCAGACAAGCTTTTAGCACATAACTTAACATATATTTGCTAGTACACCTGCACAAGCTGTTCTGTAGACTCTGAATCTATTCTAGAAGTCAGTCTTCTCCACTGAAAAATAAAAACTAAGAACAAATGTGAGTAATCACAGCTGGGAAAAATACATATTTTAAAGCCACCAGTTATATTGGACAGGTGTTATTCTGTTGGAAACTCATCTTCATGTCATCATCCGTACAACTGGCTTAGAATAAGGAAGAATATGACAAGAGTTTATGTGTACTTTAACATGACCAACAATGAAAAGACATTTATCTTCCTAGCTAACTGCAAACTATATATAAATATAAAATGTGTATATATATAATATTATATATATGTTGTAATATATATGCATAATGTGCTATATATAAATACATATATTATGTAGCATTTATAACACTTCACTCTTGTGAGACTGCACCTGGAGTACTGCATTCAGCTCTGGGGCCCCTGTCGTAATAAAAACATGGATGTGTCCCCATATACAAGGGGTCCCGAGGAGGGCCACGAAGGTGATCAGAGAGCTGAAATACCTCTCCTACAAAGACAGGCTGGGAAAGCTGGGGATATTTAGCCTACAGAAGTATCTGAAGACCTTATGGTGGCCTTCCCGTACCTAAGAGGGGCCTACAGAAAAGATGGGGAGAGACCCTTTATTAAGGAGCATAATGGTAGGACAAGGGGCAATGGTTTCAAGCTAAAAATGTGTAGATTTAGATTAGTTATAAAGAAGAAATTCTTCACTATGAGACACTGTTAGTGAGACAATGGAACAGGTTGCCCAGAGAAGTTGTAGATATTTCATCTTTGGAAGTGTTCAAGATCCGGTTTGATGAGACCTTGAACAACCTGATCTAATGCAAGGTATCCCTGCCTTTGGCAGGGAACTTGGAACTAGCTGATCTGTAAGTATTTCAGCCCTAAGAATTCAAGCCTAAATAGGTTGCTCAGCTGTACTTCTGTGCTCAGAATCTCACCCTAACTGTGCTAAATGTTTTCCTCTACTTGTTAAAATCAATATCAGACTCCTTGCTGAAATCAGCATTTCACTAAACACTTTTTCAGTGTACATTCAGTCTTGGGAACAAGAAAATACAGGGTTGGCTTTATACAGAAGATCAAATGTTTATGCTGTATACAGACAGTATATAAATATTTAAGCAAGTTTTACTTGACACATTTGTGAATAAAAGTTTTCTACAAAAATATTTCAAAGAAGTTTCAGAATGTGATGAGACAAGGAAAACTGCTGCAAGGAAATTCAATATCATTTCTAGAAACTTTAATGAATGATGAAACTGATTGAATTTGTAAAGGTTATTCCATGTTTTGAACATTTATGTTCTATGCAGGATTCATGTTATAAGATAAAACTCATATCCCTAATACCAATACAGTTAGGTTTAAATCAAATCTGTACTATTTACTGTATTGCTTTTGTGCCTATATTGCAGTTTTCCAGGGTGTACTGGGTCTGGCTGGAATGTTAACTTTCCCGACAGCAGCCCATACAGTGCCGTACTCTGTACTTGTAGCTGGAACAGCAGTGTTATCACACCAGTGTTGTGTCTACTGTTGAGCAGTGCTGGCACAGTATTGGGCCTTTCTCTAACCCTCCTAGGGGATGGGCAAAAAGTGAGGAGAGAAACATCACTAGGGCAGCTGACCTAAACCAATCAAAGGGATATTCCATACCACGTGATGTCACACTCAGCAATAAAAGGTGGAAACAGGAAGAAGAGGGGAGGGGTGGGCTCTCGTTGAGAAGACGTCAGTCCTCCTCTCAACACCGGCTGTGTGCGTTGAGGTCTTGCTTCAAGGACATGGTCAATCATCGCTCATTTGTGGGAAGTAGAGAGTAATTTCTTTCCTCTGCACTTCCATATAGCTTTCATTTATTTTGTTTGTTTGTTCTCCTCCCTTCTTTTTATTTTCCCTTTTCCCCTCCCTTTTCCCCTTTCCCTTTTTATTTCCCCTTAGTTAAATTGTTTAGTTCATGGTAGTCTTTATTTAATTATTATAATTAATAATTAATTAAATTATTTAATTAATTTAATTTAATTATCCTTATCTCAACCCGTGAGTTGTTCTTTGCTTTACTTCTCCCCCTCCTCATCTAAAGGAGGGGGAGTGAGAGAGCAGTTGTGGGGTTTAGCTGCCCAGCACGGTAAAACCACCACACAGGGCTTTATATGGCTCACATCTAGGAGAGAACACAAGGATCAACATTTAGGTTTTAAAAAACAAAACAAACTGAACAAACCAAAAGACTATGAAAGAAAACCAAAAACTCTGAAAGAAACCAAAAGACATATGCAAGGAGACACATACATAATTAATTTGCCTGCAACTGCTCTCATAATTCATATATTTATTTTTCACGTATCAAACTGTCAAAGTAATGAAAGTTTAGCTCCAAAACTGGCCCTTTTAGTTCATCAATACTTCAATTAAAATTATATATAAAAAAAAAGTTATGAATTGTCCAATAAAGTAGGCTGGTTTATATTAAAAACAGTAACAATTTGTGAGCTGTCAGTACTGAACA